CCAGTCACACCATCCACCTCTCTCCCTGGCCCAGGTTCCTCTCACCTCCAGGGCTTTGATTCACACCTTCCACTCTTCTGCGCTGACCTCTTCTCTCTTGTGCTGACCTCTTTTCCCTTCCCAGGCTCTCACCTGCCTTTCACCTCACAGCCTCTTCCAGGCGTGTGCCCTGACCCTGAAAATGCCCAGTCTGGGCAGCTACTGGGGTACTTATCCGATCAATGTCTCCCTCACTAGACAGAAAGACGAGGCAGAGGATGGCTTTGTCTGATGTCAGAACCCCCAAACAACTTTGCCTGGAATAGACGAGATGCTGGTATCATGACTGAGTGAGTGAATGAACAAGGGAGGGATGCTTATGGGAGCAGAGAGGACGTCATTCTGGAATGACCAGGTACCAAGCCGAGGGGAGAGAGAGAGAGAGAGAGAGAGAGAGAGAGAGAGAGAGAGAGAGAGAGAGAGAGAGAGAGAGAGTGCTGAGCACAAGATGGAGATTTTGGCCCCATAGATGAAGCAGGAACCCCACCTGAGAATCCAAGGGGTGACTCCTTGGGCTGGACCCCTGTGGGTTCTTAGTCTTGGGCTCCTTGTATTGCCTTGCTAGAGGATGGGAGTCCAGTGCTCAGGTGGAGTGCTGGGGGCAGGGGTGTGACTGAGCTGACCTGTGGGCAGCAGGAAGTTGCAGGGGAAGGTACCTGGCAGAGTCTGGGGACCCCAGAGCAGGGGTCCTCACCCACAGAGACAGAGATTCTGGCTGTGAGTAAATAATGTAGTGACTGCACACATCCAAGCCGGACAGATTTCCAGAGAGCCTGGGACTGGCGTCTCTGGGCAGTGGACAGAGAGCCTTCTGAGCAGGGTGGGGACCTGGCATTGATGTTGCACTGTGGCCTGTCAGGTCTAGTGACAGGCCTCCCTTGTGACCCGGGATCTTAAATGGGTCCCATGGACTACTTCTGCCAAGTCAAAGACCTGTCACAAGCAGTCTCGTCACCTGCCTGCCTTCCCTAATTCTAGTGGCCCATGACTTTTCCTCTGATTTCCTCTCCCTCCTCCAACCTGTCCATTCTGCTTTCCCTGCATCTCATGGGAGGGAGGACCAGGATTGCCTGTGGCCCTGTCCTTCAGACATGTCCCCACTCCCTCACCCATCCCACCATCTGACCTGAGCAGGACTGACTATCCCCCACAGTCCCAACTATCCGGTGAAGTCCCCCAACACTTTCTGGCTTTTGACTTCTTCCCAGAGGCTGGACTTCCCTGGGCCATGAAAACCAGGCTCAAGACCCAGACTCCTAGATTTGCTCTTTCTGAGAGGTCTGGGGTTACTCACACCTTCTGATCGAGATGTATTTTTACAGTGCTGGGGACTGAACCCAAGACACAGGCATGTAAAGCTCATGCTTAGCCCCATGGTTTTGAAACTCCCTGAGCCCCACGCTTGTGGACCCCCTGTCCTAGCCACGCCTCCCTCTTCTGAGCCTGAACCTCTTTGCCGCAACCCCTGCTAAAGGCACCAGCCCCTCACTTATGGCTTCCCCGATAGTCACCTTTTCCTCCCGGATTCTGGATGTGATCCCTTTTCAAATGTAATGCCCATTCGACACACCCCATGGCCCCTTGTCTTTATAAGCACATTCTGATCTCTTAATGGAGGGAGAAAATATCCAAGCCATTTTTAACACCGTTTTAAACACCATTATCAATGGTTTGCTTAAAACGTATCTTGCTTCCTTTAGTACGTTGATCATTGACATGCTTCCTCACCTCCACCCCCACCCCCAACCCATACTTTGGTTGTTTTAAAATACCATTTATTGCTGATTTCCTCTATTTGCTTTCCCTTGGGGGGAAAAAAGTCCATTAAAATAAATTCTTGAGCTGAGCACAGATTCCTTGGTGCTGACATTATGGGCAGTGAGTCGACCATCTGTTCTGACCTGTTCTGGCTCACTGGGTCTTGGGAACCATTTACATCTGGTCGGCTCTGGAAGAGACAGGCAGGGGGTGTTCCGTGAACCCTGCTGCACCCTCCTCATCTGGGAATTTAGAGGCTGAACCAAATGAGGGTTTTGGTTTCTTTTCAAGTCTGATCACCTCTAAAATATTTGATCTGCCATCATTATGCTACAGCTGTCATTTACACACGTGTGCCCGGAAAGATACCCCGAGCCAGTCACCACCTGAACCTTGGCTTGCCTCAGGCCTGGAAATGCTCATTCCATGTTTTTTATTTTATTTTTTATTAAAAATTTTTTTTTTGCTTTTTGGGTCACACCCAGCGATGCACAGGGGTTACCCCTGGCTCTGCACTCAGGAATTACCCCTGGCAGTGCTCAGGGAACCATATGGGAGGCTGGGAATCGAACCCAGGTTGGCCGCGTGCAAGGCAAATGCCCTACCCGCTGTGCTATCACTCCAGCCCCTCATTCTATGTTTTTTAAACAGTATGAAGAACTTGAGTTTTTACCACACCATGACATGTCCTCAGTGCTTATACTGCGCACTGAAGGAACTCAGTGAATTGCATTGCATTACCACCTCGCCCCCCCACCGTTGGACAGGGTAAGAGGCTGCGAGCAGGGGGTGGGGTGCATGTAGTGGGGCGGTGGGCAGGCTGGGAGCCGGCAGCCCTATTGTACATGCCTGACAGAGTGGGCAGTACACTGCTCTGCATCCAGCTGGCATGCACCGGCTCATTTCTGTGTCTAATGAATGTCTTGGCTCCACCGCACCCTTGGGGCACACAGAACTGACCGTGGAACCCCACTTGCACCCGAAAAAGATTTGGGAACCTTGGCACTCGAGGGGAATACAATCAACAAGTTCCCTGGCGTCCTTCAGAATAGAGGTAAAAACGTAGGGTGGACACGGTTCAGCCCAGTGAAGGCACTTTCTTTCTGCAAAGCATTTATCACAGAGGACTTCAAGCATTAAGAAAAGCACAGAATGACAAATGCCGTGGCCTCGCCACCCAGAATTAATAATGTTCACAATTTGCTCTGTTGCCTTTAAAGAAATGAAATATAGCCGTTTGCATTCACGCTCCCTTTGTTTGCCTCTCTAGGAGGCTTCCCAGGAACTGTCCTGTGACATTTAGGGCCACATTATTCCAAACACTTTGATATATTCGTTGCAAGGACCTATGGACGGTTGAAACTAGAAGTGCTTCGTTTTAAACCATCGCAAAATATACATAGCATGAAAGTTCCCATTTTAAGCATTTTGAGACCCCACTGTCTGAATTCTGTACTCATATTGTTTTGGATCCATCAGCCTTTCCTAGAACTTTTTCATCATCCCAAAGAGAAACTCTTTCCCCACTGATCTCTAGCTCCCTATTCCCTGCTCTCTGAGGCCCTAGCAATCTTGGTTCTTCTTTTTTTCCCTTCCTTCTGGCAAATTTGACTGTTCTAAGACCCCATTCAGTGGGAACACACAGTACTGTCCTTTTGTGATTGGTCTATTGCACTTAGCATAATGTCTTCAGGATTCATTCATGTTGCAGTATCAAAATCTCATTCCCTTTGAAGGCTGAGTAATAGTCCATTGTTGGATGCTGTCTGTTATCCACGGGTGGATTGGTCTTCTCCTAAGCCACTGGGCCACTATGAGTAAGGTTGCTTGGAAGACAGGTGGACAGATGTCTCTCTGAGACCTTGCTTTCAATCATTTTGGGGTCTAAGTCCAGATGTGGAATTTCTGGCGCATATGGTCATTCTGTTGTTCGGTTGTAATGGAGCACAGAGGTTCCAATTCCTCTACTTCCTCACCCACACCCTGCCTTTTTTTCTGTTTTTTTTACTCTTAGGAGGTATCAATCAGCGGTGCTTCTCAAGGTCATCTTCTCCTGAAGAGGGAGAAACTCTTGCCCTGCTGGAGGGAGTATCCCACAAGAACCTGCAGTGACACCAGCCACTTATAGCAGGACTGAAACTTGAATCATTCCCCCCACCCCCACCCCTGCCCGTTCTCTCCCATAAAATGCATAGTTGAGTTTCGAGACCAATATATGTTCGGAAGTGACCGCCATGGCATAGAGGCTTCGAATTTATTTGGTTTGTTAAACCAATGAAGCAAAAATGACAATGAAGCAAAAATCAAAGTGGTATCTGCATTTTAAAACTTTGGAGAAAAAAAAACTTTGGAGGATTTTATATTTTAGAATCTTGATTCCCCCCCCCCCCCCCCCCGATCCTTGCCCCAATCAGAAGACCTGATGACTCTGAACCAATATTCTGGAATATTCTGGCATGGTCTGAGCAGAAGCTGCCTCTTCAGATGAGGCGTGTGGGTGGTGAATCCCTGCACCTGCAGCTCTCAGGCACATAAGTGGGTCCTTCGTTCTATGCACAAGCGAACCTGTAGTAACCTTCGACAGACTGGCTCCCATCCCCCTCCTTTCTCTTTCTTCTGGCCTTGTCGAGCTGAATGTCTGAGCCGCCTCACCACCTTGGTGGCAAATGAATTCAGCCCAGTGTCCATGGAGGTGTGTTGGAATAGCTTTAGTGGGAGGTGATGGGGAAGCATGTCCAGAGACCTGGAACCTCCTCTGGATTCTTGCAGGGAATGCCAGGGCAGATCTGACCAGCCCTGCTTTTTTGAACCTCCTGCTACACATGTGGTTGATTCATGGTAGAACCACGGGGTGGTGTGGACAAGGGGGAGAATTCCAGGTCTGAATGCAGATAACTCCCTGGAGCAATAGTACACTAATGTAGCATGTTTTCCTTGCATGCTGCTGACTCGGGTTCAATCCCTGGCATCCCATATGGTCCCCAAGCCTGCTAAAAGTGGTCCCTGAGTGAAAAGCCAGGAGTAACCCCTGAGCACCACTGGGCGTGCCCCCCACCAGATAATAATGCACGCAACTTTCGTGCCTTTCGGGTATTAGGGAAGAAAATCTCAACCCTCCCCCCCTTGAAGCACTTTCCTGAGAGGATCCCTGCAGGGCTCTGCCCACTTACCCACCACCCTCTGCTTTCTCTCTCTGTCCTCAGGTGAGGAACGACCTGACCGGGGTCCTCTATGGTGAGGACATTGAGATCTCCGACACAGAGAGCTTCTCCAATGACCCCTGCACCAGCGTCAAAAAGCTGAAGGTAGGTGCAGGCAGCCTGGGGCCTGACAGCTGGGGGCCTCCCTGACCCCCTTGCTGGGAAAGAGCCTGGCGTTCAGGCCGTCTGCTCCATCCTTGGCGTGGGCGAGGTGGGGAGAGGCCCCGCCCTCTTGCCCCTTAGCAGCCCCAACCCAGGATCCAGTTGCCAGATTCAAAGCCAAGGGTAGCTTCCTCCTACCTGCCAGCTCAGCGGCAGAGCACAGTAGGGCACCAGCCTTCTCTGTTTCACAGATGCTCCAAGGCAGGAGCCGTCTTGCTGCAGAGCACAAGAAAGCACTCCTGGGTGCCTCCCAAATCCATGTCCCTGTCCCTCCTCCAGGGACACTCATGCCAGGGAGGCAAAGCACCAACTAGAGACTGGCCGGCTGTGGGTAGTCTCTGCCCTTTGTCCGTGTGCAGCACAAACTCTTCAACACCTTGCCTGTGCCTTCCGCTCTCCTGGGCTCCCCAACACCCTCTGGCCTGCCCTTGTCCTCGGGTGACTCACTGCTGGCCAGGAAGGCATCTCCCTCCCAGGAATCAGGAAGAAAGGGAGGAAGTGACTCATGCTGGGGACTGAGCTCAGAAGAGTCTTTGAACCTGGCCGAGGAGGAGGTGGAGGTTGGGGATCTCTGGGAGGCCGGGAGGAAGGAGGCTGGAGTCAGAGGCCCTGCAGCCAGACCCATCCTGTGTGCGGGCATGCAGGACTTCCAGGACACTGCAGGCAGATTTGAAGTCCGTGAGCTTCGAAGCTGAACTAAGAGATTTTTCATCCTGAAGCTCAGAGACCACCTCACCCCACCCTGCCTCAGGCCAACTGTCCTCTTGTCATGGAGAGTTTCCACTTTATACCCATCAGAGCAGGTGGCAGTGGAGAACTCTTGTCTTTTAAAGCCCTGTGTTCACAGAGGGGGAAACTGAGGCCCAGAGAAGGAGTTTGAGGGAGGCAGGGTCTCTGTTGCATGGCATCTGCTCAGGACCAGACACCAAGCCTGCGTGGAATGTTTGAGTTCCCGCAGAGATGGAAGCAGGAGCAAGGTCGGGCCTGCAGCCACCCAGGGAGCAAGAGTCAGGTCTGCCCAAGTGGGCCCAGGTCTGAAAAGGAAGGGGGGTGGGGTGGGGGTGCTCACACTGCAGAGAGCAGCAGGGGTGTGCCCAGGACTGGGGCTGCGCTGACATTCTCCGGCCACATGCTGCGTCTCCCTGGGGTGGGCTCTGCAAATAGCTCCCTCCTTGGGCCTCCAGCAGAGGGTTCTGCAGGCTTCAAAGTTGAAAGTGCCTTTGTGCCCAGAGCGGAGGCCTCGCTGGAAGCCCATGAAGAATCTGAGGATGAAAGTGGGCGCTCTGCTCATCAGCCCATCAACTCCAGCCGCGCGTGGGCGGTGACATTAGCCATGATGAAAAGAGCAGCCGGCTGGATTTGCCAACACCTCGGCCAAGGGTCAAGGCTTCATGCCAAGGCCTTGACCTTCAGTTGCTCATTACATCTTCCTTAAAACTCTCAGAGGCAATTCCGGTCGTCCCCTTTTCCACAGATGGGGAGCTTAAGCTCAAAGAGAACTAGCGCATCCCAGCACCCAGAGCGGGAGGGCAATGGGCTGGACTCCGGTCTAGACCTGGATCCCGTGCCAGCCCCGCATTTCCACGGCCCCACACAGCTGTAGTTCTGAGAAAGAATTCCAACTCACAAAATCAGGCGAGAGCGGGGCCAGGATAGACCGCAGGGTAGAGGTAGCCGCTGCGAAGGTCTTACTCTCTCCCAGATCCCTCATGGCTCCTCCTAGAACCGTTTAGACTTTGCTCAGCTGTCCTCTTCTTTCAGTACTGTCAATCAACAGCGAATAAATTTCACTCACTTCTTAAAATAAATGTTAAATCCCTGCCCCTCCTACTTCCACACTTCTGCTCCTTGGTTCGATCTCCCTGAAGGACATTTATGTAGCCTACCTGGATCTAGGAACAAGGGAACACGAGCCGGTGGCTCCAAAGAACAGAAATGTATTCTGTCACATTCTGGAGTCCGCAGACACCAGATCAAGATGTCTGCAAGGTCATGCCTTCTAGAAGGTTCTGGGCTCATAATTTCTTTTTAAAATTAAATTTAACTTTTGTGGGGTAGTGAATGTAATTCCATCATTATGCTCATCACCAGTGTACTCCATTCCCCCTAGAGTCCCAACACCCCTCTCTTAAATCCCCACCCCACTAGCTCAACTGTGTGAATCAGTTCATTCTGTATCTGGCCCTTTCCTTCTGATTGGCTTCAATCAGTATGATATCCTCCTGTTCTCCATAGAGCTGTGAAACAATTTTGTCCTTTCTTAGAGCTGCGTAGTATTCCATCGTGTATATATACCACAAAGCAGGCTCTCCCTTGAGACTCGAGTGTCCCTGGCAATCTATGGTGTTTCTCGACTACAGCTCCAGTCTCTGCCTGTAGAGGCTTTTCCACCCTTCTTCACTTTATGTTCCTAGCTGGACACTCATCATGTTGGCCACATCCCAATCCTATGTTCAAGCAAAGTCCGGTTATAAGGTGTGAGGGCTGAAGATCACAGCATATCTTTGGGGGAGTACACTCAAATCATAGCAACACCTGACCTACTGCTTACACTGGCTGAGGGTGTCATCACTGGTCCTCTCCCTACGAAGCCCAAGGAGGCAGCCTTTGGTCTCTATCTTAGTCACTGCTCTGGGTCCATTCACCTGGAATCAAACCTGATTTGCAGAGTGTATATAAATTCAATGCCAACTCTGAGGACACAAAACCGAAGAAGGATAAAGTGCTCAGGAACAAAGAAAAAAAACTTCTGGAGAACTGAAAGGCAACGCAAATATCTGACTTACTGTGAGAGAAGAAAAGGAAAGGAGGCACACAGAACAAGGAAGAAAATGAAATTTTTAAGAGAAGAATAAAAATCTGTGTTGGAGGTAATAAAGAGGAGAGTTCATGCCAAGGAAAATAAAAGCCTACCATGTAGGAGGCAAATTTGAGGTCCTTTCCCAGAATTCAGAAGACAGGTAAAAAAGAGATAAGTTTAATGAAAGAAGAGATAACCAAGATGCATTCTGATACTCTGTGGGTTCTCTGAAGAAACCAGGACAAAGGACAGAGGAGAAAAATTAAAATCAAAACAGAATCCCAGGGGCTGGAGCGCTAGCACAGCAGAGAGGGCGTTTGCATTGCATGTGGCCGACCCGGGTTCGGTTCCCAGCATCCCATATGGTCCCCGGAGCACCGCCAGGAGTAAGCCCTGTGCATCGCCAGGTGTGACCCAAAAAGCAAAATAAATAAATAAATAACAGAATCCCATGCAGCAATAAGCATGCCTGGCACCCAAATCTTGTTCTCTAAAATCTTCCTCCATTAGAAGGAACTTCTCAGAGAAATGACCCATGCTAGGATGGAGACAGAAGATGTGCAAGATGTTTCCAAACATCTAATAGAGTCAGAAAGTAAGGAAATACTCAAAATAGCAACATACTCCTATGGCATTAAGTCAGAAGAGCAAGGTGACGAGTTGAAGAAGCTTTTAATGGCCAGAAGGGGGAGGAGGCAGCAATAAAGGAGTAGTATTCGATTATAGCCCAAAGTATGTGTGAGTCCATGCTGATGAGAATAAGATTGGGGAGAACCAATCTTGCAGGCAGAAGAAATTCAAAGAATTTTCTGTTGACATTTCATGCTTAAGGAAGTGAAATGTAATTACCTCGTTAAGGAGTTTCCTTGAACAAAGTAGAGTATGAAAGGAGTGGGTAAGAATAATGCCGCTGACCAGTACAGCCTCATCAGGTTGACACAGATCAACATCAACAGTGCCAAGTTGTGTGACTGAGTTGTACCTTTGGTAGCATGTGACATAATGGTCTCTTGCCTTCTGTGTTCTTCCACCCCACATCCCTCAACCGCAGTCGAAACCATGAGAAAAATACCAGGAGCTTTTGAGTAGGAGGAAATTCTACCCAATATGTCACCAATGCTACTCCAGACTCTTCAGGTTTTCAGAAGAAGGGAGTGTCTGAGGCAAAAGGTGACATGGTAACTGAAGATAATGTGCTATTCTGGATGAGCTAGAAAAATAGGAAAAAAGACACATGAAACGAAGACTAAGAAAATTAGAGTTAAGGGTGAACGTAAACTAAGTGACAACATATCAGTATTGGTGTTTTAATTGGTACAGGTGTACTACACTAACACGATGCTAGTATCAGACAGACTGGTGAGGTGCATATAGCAATTTCCTTTATCATCTTTGTAATCTTTCTGTAAATCAAAAACTGTTCACAAATAGAAATTTTATTTAGAGAGAAAAGAAAAGAGAAAAGAAAAGAGAGCAGAAAACCAACTTAAGCAGGTTCAAAGGAGGTCTACTAGATTGGACCATACAAAATTGCCAATAGTCTGCCTGACCTTGTGACAGAATGGTAGTGTATCTGACTCCAGGTAAAATTACCATTTTTCAACTATTTTCACTGTTGGGTATTCCCAAGCAGTGCTCTGAGGGCCCAGGAACCACTCCCAGTGATATTCAGCCAAGCCAGTTGGGCCAGTTCAATGCTTAGGGACAGTGGAGCAGGAGTACCAGCAATATGGTGGTGCTTGGGACCTCCAGAAATTTAGACTCAGCCGTGCTGCTGGGACGGGGGAATTTAATGTCAGGGATCAAACCTGGTACCTTGTGCATGCAAGGCATGCACTTCATCCCTTTGAGCTGTCTCCCCAGCCCTATTCAATCATTTTTAAATGACATAAATCATCTTACTTCTTGAACTAGACTCTATGAAGAAGAATGGGTTAAAAGAGAATCAGACCCAGACATGTTTGGCCAAAAGTTTAGAAGGAGAATCATAAAAGGTGGGAGGGTGGAGGCATCTGCAAAAATCTCAGTCAGGGTAAGCAAATTTCTGTGAAGGTGCCAAACACAGCATTTCCACATCCCAGCGAAGCAGGAACATTGTGTGATGGGTGACTCCTAGGATGTGCCTTCTGGGCCCCCTTTTGGA